GTCAATTCATTCTTCTCGTTGGGCATCGAATGAAAGATAATCCCTGACACCTCCGTCAGCCCATATATGTTCTATTGAACGCAACAAATGAAATGGATAATAATTCGTAAATTGGAACGAGGGGATAGGAGTGACGGGTCGAGGCACACCAAGAAACCTCGGAACACGATTTCACGAAGGAGAACGTTATTGATCGGGGCCAAGAAACGATATTTCTCCACGTGGAATCGCATTTATGCATACGAACCGAGTCGAGTTGGCCGTGCGAGATATGTGCATAGATAACGCGGAAAACGCGACGCGTGTCGAGCCGAATTAAGTACGTGTCGACGACCTTCGTCCATTCCCATCCAATCTATGAAAATCCTTCGATCCAAAATTCCAAAAATTACCCGAGAAACGATCCAATATTTTTTTTTTTTTCTTAACAAATCGTGCAAATAACTTTGATTATCTCGATCGAAAATGATTTTTTCTTTTTTTAGCCTTTACCTTACCTTTATATTGTCAAAGTTGAAACTTTCCCTTATTTTTTTAAAAAGCTCAGGCGACGCTATCGCCCCACCTGTGAAACCGCAGGCTAAAGTTATCGGCGGAGGTTGAACACGATGATACGCATCCAACAGTGTGATCTAACCGTAAAAAGAAAAGCGAAAAAAAGGGTTAAACGTTAAACGACCTTACATATATATATCGAGAATTTTATACGACTTTCGTTACTTTACCCACATAGTCGGTGTTCCGTACACGATATCGCACTTTTCTCCTATTATCGCATCCAACGATTTCATAGGATTGAAGGAGCGGGCTTCCAACACGATCGTGATACCGGCATGAAACATGTTCAACAATCCTTTAATCAGGCCGTACACGTGGAAGAACGGAACGTTCAAGCACACCTTCTGCTCCATCCTTATCTTCGTCCTTAATGCGCTCTACAACAAACGTAACAAACATCATCATGATGTCGATCGAATATATACATATATACGTATATATATACACATATATATATGTATATACATATATATATATGTATATATATATATATATATATATATATATATATATATACATTGTGTACCTGTTTAGAGTTATTGAACAACGATCTGTGCGATAAGAGGGTAGCTTTCGGTTTTCCAGTGGTTCCCGAAGTGAATTGTATATTGCTACCGCTGTGACACGATATCCGATCCTGTTCACCCGCGACACGTTCGACCTCGATCTTGGACGCGAGCCGCTCCACGTCGGCGAATCGAAGCGTCCCTCTTGAATCGAAACGAATTTCGAATTAGCGACGATCCAGGCAACGCTCGTTGGAAAACGATATAGGAAATCGAGGCAAGCGAAGGGAGAAGGGTGCGAATGCATTAACCTAATTGCAAATCGTCGGGTTGGGGAGATCATCCCTCTATTCGGATTTCGATCGAAAAATTTGAAAAATTGCGCGCGATAATAATTGCCACGTTTAACTCGATTTATTATTTATTTTTTTTTTTAATTTATTTGCGATAATAATTCTCTCGTTTAACCTAATTTATTATTTATTTTTTTTTTTCATTTTTTTGCACGCGGTTTTATTTATACATCACACGGCGAGCAGGAAAATACATTAAAATTGCAAATTGCCCGACCTTGTGTTCTAATTGTGGAACACGTGTGTGTACGTATATATGAGATTCTCTCGTTCTCCTATACGTCTCCCTAAGACGAAGGATTTACGCGTATCCTTCATCCTGTCTCCCCCTCCTTTATCGAGCGGATACAAAGACTTATCGCTCTGTCCACCCCTCCCCCTCCTCTCGCTTAAATTAAACCAGAAATAAAATCGATCCCTCGAATATAATATATACATATGTATATATACACGTAATAAGAGCGAAATGCAGAATTGTCTTACTCAATGTGATCTTTGGAATAGATAATTATGTGCTCCAACATGGGGCACGTGGTTCGTTTGGCGCGTAGCAGCATCGCGGGATAATCCTGGGTTTTAAAATTGTCCGGGGATATGACTGCCTTTACCCCGACCTTTTGCAAGCAATAGGTGATCTCGTCGAGTCGATAGGTGGGGTTTATCGAGACGACGACTAGGCCCAGCCTCGTGCCGGCCACGAAACCGATTATCCACTCGACGTCGTTCGGCGCCCATATACCGAGACGATCGCCCCGTCTCAGGCCAAGCTTCGCCAAACCGGCCGCGAAACGATCGGCGCGATCGAGCAGCTCGGTGAACGTCAACCGTACGCCCTGGTGAACCGAGATCACGCACTCCTTGTCGGCCCATCTCTTCGCAGCAGTTCCAGCCAGACTGCCCAACGTTTCGTCGATCACCGCCACGTCCCCCGGGCAGTGCAAATACGACAACGACCCACGCTCGTCCCGCCTCTCCTCGTGATTAGATCGGTATCGTCGAATCGACGAAACGTTCCGCCATCTCCCATTTTCTCCATCTCGTGCTGACGAAATTTATATTAATATGTTAATATATTACATTATAAGAAAATTATATCATAAGATTCTCGTGAATATGTATATATATATATATA